GGTGGTGTGTTGGAGGAGCAGGAGGGGGACAGCGACCAAACGAGGCGTGAAGCTGTGGCCATATAACATGATAGGGGACCACTATGTGCATAAACCTCGTCCTCCCTCACTCACTCATTCACTCCAGGGGTATGAGGAGGAGTTGGAGGGAGGGAGGGAGGGAGGGAGGGAGGGAGGGAGGGAGGGAGGGAGAGGGAAGGAAGGAGAGGAGGAGGAGGAGAGGAACAAGGGGACCATTATATTTCCTACGAGGGACAGTCACACCCTATACCACATGGCTCCCCCACCCCCACCCTCTCCTCCCCCCCTTACCACCTCTCCTCCACCACCAGTGCTCTGTAGCGCACGTGAGTCACCCCACACCGTCAGTTCCTTTCACCCTACCCCTGCCATTCATCACCCTACCTACCAACATTCTGTACCCCCAGCCCCTTCACACACACACACACACACACACACACACACACACACACACACACACACTATAAACACAATCCACAGAACTTATTTTCACCCTAAAGCAGCACTACCAAACACACCTAAACACACCAAGTCTTTAGTATACCACCCTAACACCACTGTTCACCCTCTCCCCACCCCCTAGCTCTCGTGCCGCCACCAAAACTGGACTGCATCATACATCTGCATCCATTATAGAGGCCAGTCAGCTGATCACCACAACAAACACCCCCTCCCCCCTTCCTACTCGTGTCCCTCTGGTGGCAAGGTCACTACTCATTCACTGCCAACTAATGAATGAAAAGATTATTAACAACAACAATAATAATAAAAATAATAAATACAATAAAAAGAAAAGCTGAAGAAGACAAAAACAAAATAATAACACTAATAAATACCAATACATTTAAAAAGAACAATAAAAATTATATACATTTAAACTTGAGAGAATAAGTTACACACACACACACACGTTACACTTTAAAAGCAGTTACTTAACAATACAATATGCAGTGAAAAAGTGAAAGTTAGGCGCCCATTCTCAGCAAGGTCGCTTAAGTGGGGAGAGGCATAGGGGAGAAGGTAGGCGATAACAGGGAGAGTGAAGGGAGAGGAAACGCAGAGGGGAGGTGAGGGAAAGGATATAACAGGCAAGGGCACTGGAGGAGAAGGAGAAGGAGGAGAAGGAGAAGGAGGAGAAGGAGGAGGAGAAGAAGAAGGAGAAGAAGAAGAAGAAGAAGAAGAAGCCGTGGGTTCGCCATTGGCCACATCGGCGGCCTTCCAAATCCTCCCGAGTGACATCAGCGAGGAGTCTGGCACACACACACACACACACACACACACACACACACACACACACACACACACACACACACACACACACACACACACACACACACACACACACACACACACACACACACACACACACATAATTTAAAAGACTGAAGAACCTAATATAAAACAGACAAGCGTGTATAGCTGATGGCTAGTGAGGCTGGTAGAGGACTAACCACCCACCACCAGTAGTAGTAGTGGGGGGGGGTGGTGGAGGTAGGGAGGGGGGATTGCACCATCAGGCAAGGAGTGTTAAACGGTGGTAATGAGGGTGACAACTGGTGATACAAACAAGTCTTTCTCTCTCTCTGTTAGACGTGAATGATGGGACACATTACTGTATAATGACTGGGTGTCTGTCTGTCTTCTTCGGATTTTCCTGGTTCACAAAGGTCAGTATGTTATTACATTATCTTCAAGTGTATGTATGCATGTGTGTGTGTGTGTGTGTGTGTGTAAAAGAACCTAGAAAACGAGAGAGAGAGAGAGAGAGAGAGAGAGAGAGAGAGAGAGAGAGAGAGAGAGAGCATTGTTTACACGTGACGTCATCAACACACCACCCCGCAACGAAAGTAAAAGTCGGAGAAAATATTTGCATTCCATTTAAATAACTGTATAGACTTATAGAACCAATGACCTTCACTACTGGACACATATACAGGTCAGGCTGGGTCCACAGTACCGGGGGAGGGAAGAAGTGTGGAGATGCCAGTAATTCCCCCAGAACGACGTGTGGTATGCGGGGGGAGTATTTACCGTAACCCGCGATAATGTTACGACGGTGGAAGACGACTCGGCTCTTCTTTAAATATATATAATAAAAATACATCCATGAATACATATAAATTCATAAAACTATAAATATCAGGAACAACTTGTATATAAATCTTTAAGCATGTCTTTCTTAACGTTTAAACATCACCAGCAACGATTCATATACATACCCCCAAAAATATATATGTATACATTAATCTCTTTTATGTTAGCATAAGCTGAGGCGCCCTTGTGTAGGTAGAGGCTGACCAAACACTCGTGGATACTCCCCTTGAGGTGCTGTACTGTCTGACTGTCTGTCTGTGGCTGATGATGACCTCACACTGATGTTTTGTCTCTGAGATGGGGAGAGGGAGGAAGAGAGAGAGAAAGGAAAGGAAGGACGGAGAGGGAGGGAGGGAGGTAAACGACAGGAAGGCGGTGGTAGGTGAAGGATGAGTGGTACACAAAGCAATGATTCAGAGGTAACGTGTTGAGTGAGTGAGTGGTAGTCCTTCATTACTTCTCTCCCTCACCTCATCCTCCCTCGTGTTGAACTATCGGCACCCTATAAACAAGCCCCCTCATCACTGTCAAATTCTGGCCGAGTTTGCCTTCACCTTTCTGGTCAGGATGGCGCCTTCCCTCCCACCCCTTTCCCCACATCTTCCCATTCTCCCCCTCTCTCCCCACTATATCTCCCTCTTCTCTTCCCCCTCCCCGCAACACCTTCTTCTCTTCCCTCTCCCTATCCCCCACCCCCTAACCATGGAGGATGAGAACAATGGACAGTTTAGCCACCACAAGATAGGACTTGAAGCACCTTCCTCCCTCAGGGGGGAACTTGACTCCAGCACCCCTTCCTCCCACATCACCTTCTCCCCCTCCATCCCACTTTCCCCACCTACCCACCCTCTCTCCCCACATATCCACCCAACCTCCTCCCCTTCCACCACCTCCCCCCCCCTTCTTATATCCCCTTCCCTCACTACCAGGCCATCAAGGTTAGCCCGAGGGTGTGTGGGTGGGGCGGATGGGGCGGGATGGGTGGGTGTGGGTGCGTGGATGGGTGTGTGCTTGTTACAACATCCTCTGACACACACACACACACACACAATATACAACACATTACCTACCGGCTTCCCTCCCGTCTCCTCACTCTTTATCACTAACGTCAAGAGGCTAAGTTAGTTAGGTTAGGTTAAGTTAGGTTGGGTCATGTTAAATCTAGTGATCCCGGTAAAGGGTGTACACAGCTCACATATACAGACACTGTCACCATCCATCAATAAAGTAGTATAATGATGATAATTGTGAGGCACAGACAGACAGGAGCTCTACCAAATATCATCATAATAATAACTACTGTACCGGCCTCCAGTTACCCTTCATATGGTGACGTCAGTAGCAACACCACCTCCTCTACCCTCAAGACGCCGCCCGCACGTGTAGACACACACACACACACCCCCTCTACATTACACAGCTGTTGGCCACCAGGATCAGACTTGACACACCCCAGGGACAGCAACCCTCCCACACCACCACGACCTTCCTCCTCCACCCAACCACGACCCCTCCCCTAACAGCCATACATACACCCTTACCCACACCTACCCTTAAATCATAGGTTCCTCCGCACGCTCTCACGGGGGGGGGTGGGGGGGGGGGGCGTGGGAGGAACACTAAAAATAAACAAAAAAAATGTCTACCTTCCTCCCTCAAGTATTTACAATCACAGCCCATTAACGTGAAGTGTGTGTTCATTCATACTAAATCGTGGGGTAGGAGGTTGGTGGGGGAGAGGGTGAGGGTAATGGGTGGTGATGGTGGAGGGGAGAGAGAGAGAGAGAGACACTCGTGGCCTGGGTACGGTACACAACAACATGACCTACTGCTGCTGCTGCTGCTGTTGTTGACATTCCTAGCTGCTACGGTTGGGTCGTATACGTTCTCCTGTCGACCCCACCCACCATACACACACACTGCACACACATACATACATACACACACTGCACACACATACATACATACTCTCTCTCTCTCTCTCTCTCTCTCTCTCTCTCTCAACAACAACAATACGAGGCTTCAACTGGGAGAGGAGGAGGTGCGCTACTGAGAGAGGGGTGAGAAGGAAGGAGGAGGAGGAATGAGGGGGAAGAGGGAGTGAGGGGGAAGAGAGAGGGGGAAGAGAGGAGTGAGGGGGAAGAGAGGAGTGAGGGAGAAGAGAGGAGTGAGGGGGAAGGGGGGTTACCTCGCTAGTATGCACCAACGCTTCTTATTAAGTCGACTTCCTGCTCTCGTGACTGTTGCCTGGCCGTTACCTACCACCATCCCAGCCAGGGCACAGAGGGTGAGGGAGGGAGGAAGAGAGGATGAAGGGTACACAACTTGCTCCCTGCAGCTCTGGTTTACCATCCTCCTCCTCCTTCCTGTCACCTCCACCTGCACCACCTCCTCCTCCCACCTCCACCTGCACCACCTCCTCCTCCCACCTCCACCCTACTGACCTAAGAAAACTCCACCTCCCCCCATCCCCCACAACACAATGAGTACACCCGGGCAACACAATGAGTACACCCGGGCAACACCTTTATAAGACAATACACAAAAAGATGATATAGCTACACACCTGAAGATTAATCACCCTAACTACCTTATTAGGGTGAGGTTAGGTGAGTGTTAGGGGTGGTTAATCTTCAGGTCAACCCGATAACTACCAGAACTTAAACACACACACAAGAGTGCCACGGTGGTAAGGGCGTGGCACTCCTGACCCAACTGGAAGTGCCAACTCCGTATTACACACACACACACAAGCGAGGTCATCATGTTAATGTATGTATTTAGCCATTTCTTGTCCACTGTAGGCTTATACATCATCATCATCATCATCATCATCATCATTATTATCATCATCATCACCATCATCATCACACACAGCCACTTACTGTCCAGCTTGGCCACCACGTCATCAATAACACATTGTTTGGTGTAGGAGTCCTCTATTGTGGGGTCATAGTCCGTGGCGAAGTAACTCTGAAACAAACAAACAGTCATTACTACCATATAGAGCCATGGCCCAAACAAGAGGAGAGAATAAAATAAATAAAAAGAGAAGAAAAAGGTAAAAGTCAAATAAAGAAGGAAAAAAGAGACAAATTGAGATAACAAATCTCTCTCTCTCTCTCTCTCTCTCTCTCTCTCTGACACACACAGGGTCAGGAACCACTAAACACCATCACCGCCAATATCACTCATCCCTACCTCTTGCATATCACCTGCTACACACTCCCTCAGGGCAGTGATGGTGCAGGGAGAACAGGTGCGAGGTCAGAGGTCAGTATTTACCTTTCTGCAGACAGGAAGGAGGTAGTGGAGAGAGAGAGAGAGAGAGAGAGAGAGAGAGAGAGAGAGAGAGAGAGAGAGGCGGCTGGGGTGGCCACAGACTAAACGCCGTAGGTAAGGTTAGGCTGCTGTAACCATTAGCTAGGCCAGACCACCAACAGTGTTTTATATAGTATACTTTATGCAGATGCTTCAGGGAGGGTGTCTGGACAAGTGTGGCAGAGGAGCAGTGGATGATAGATAGATAGATAGATAGAGACAGACAGACAGACAGAGAGAAACAAACAGATAGATAGATAACGACAAAGACAGAGACAGACAGATACATAGACAGAGAGAAATACAGACAAGACAGATACACCCCCCCCCCACACACATGTCACGTTATTATTTGATAACCCATAGACGCTTGAGTGTACAGCTTCCGTTGACCTTTGACCTCTGGTAGTGTCTCGAGTACGGTTAGGTTAGGTCGCTGGAGTAAGGCAACGTGTTTCCTATGACCAGGGGGTGACCTCTGCCGATGACCCTGACCTTTATATGTTAATTAAATAAATAAAAGTGCAAGTGGGTCAATTCTGGTCCCCAAGATGACCAGGCGGTATAGACCAACAGGTGGACGAACGAACATACAAAATAAAACAATAAATTAATAAAATAAAAACGACAAAATTTATCAGTTTACTGCGTGGACGGCAGGACAAGGGAGAGTGGCCATAAACTAAAACGGAGGAGGAGCCGGTGAGAGAAGAGGAGGAAAGGGGGAGAGGAGGGAAGGAGAGGATTAAGAGGGAGAAAAAGGGAGAGAACGAGAGGCAGGGAAGGAGAGATGAAAGGAAGGAAGAGGAGAGGAGGGAAGGAGGGGGAGGGGGAGAAGGATAGCCACACACACGTCACCCTCCTCCACACCTCCCTACTTGGTCTGCCTACACTGGACCGGTGGCTGCAGGTCTGAACACCCTCCCCACCCTCTCCCTCCCCGTCCAGTCTAACCTAACCTACCCATGTGGACTGAGAGCTACATTCCAAGGGCTAAATTGGGTTTGGCTGATTTGGGTTAAATTAATTGGAACCTATTCGAAGTGGGGCCCATGTAACCAGTCACTAATAAAATAAATAATTATATAGTTATAATAATATTACAACAATAAAATAAAAACAATAATAAAAATATGAAAACCCTAATTCATAATTTTAAAAAGCACAACTAACACCTCTACGAGCGTTCGCCAGGCATATGCTCACACTGGCGTTACGTTACAATACCCACGGTGGTACACTCGCTCCACAAAAAGTATCTTCACGAAATTTGGAGCGAGTGTACACAGTGTAGTGAACATGTGGCGAGCAGGTGGAGAGGCGGTGGCGAGCAGAGCAGACCAGGGCAGGTAAGGTCGCCCACAGTACTCGCCTCACACACACACCTGGACACCATATAAAGCATGATGGTGTGGTGTGGTGGCCAGACCCCCAGGCACACACTATTCTCCGTTAGAGGGAGGAAATCAGTGTGGCATACTTAACATACTTATGATAAACCCTTTTACACGACCCTGACATATGTTCACGTATATCTTTACAATCGTGTTAGGCTGTTATCTGATCGGTATATATGTATAATGTGAACTGGAAGAAGAGGAGGAGGAGGGAAGAGGATGGAAATAAGGTGCTAAGAGAGTAAGAGGAGATGAGAGATTTAGAGTAGGTGGAGGAGGCGCTGAAGGAGTAGTAGGTGGAGGAGGCGCTGAAGAAGGAGTAGTAGGTGGAGGAGGCGCTGAAGGAGTAGTAGGTGGAAGGCGCTGAAGGAGTAGTAGGTGGAGGAAGCGCTGAAGGAGTAGTAGGTGGAGGAGGCGCTGAAGGAGTAGTAGGTGGAGGAGTAGGTAGGTGGAGGAGGTGGAGGAGGCCATCCACAGGACCTTTCATCTGTTGCAATTTCCGGCACATTCCATCAGTAGTGATCACATCCTCCCCTCTCAACACATCCCCCTCCCTCTAAACACACCCCCTCAATACAACACACCTTACATTTTATTCTGTTAACACTCCTTTCACACCTTCACTCAACCCTCCTCAACACTCTACTTGAATCGTCACACACACACACACACACACACACACACACACACACACCAGTTTTAGGAATACGGGTTACGTTACTGTGGGCCCACCGTGAGAAGCAGCAGTAGTAGTAGTAAACACAACCCCCACAAACACCGCCCTGGAGGTAAATATTAATGCACCCCCCACCCCCCCGGGCCATCCCTTTAAACGTTATGTGTCACCCAAACCGCGAACACCAGAAGAGAGACAATACCTTATAAATGTTATCACTACTACTTTTTTTTAACGTGGCCTCCATCCTCCCCCAATAGCCACACCTTCGCCGCCAATACTACTACTACTACTACTACTTTTTTTTTAACGTGGCCTCCAGCCTCCCCCAATAGCCACATCTTCGCCACCATTTTATTACCTTAATATTAAATATCCTAATACATAAGTAGCTATCCTATCTGTGTTGAATTAGTCGAGCCGCAGTTCTATGCGGCATTCAGTGACTGTAGCCTCATAGTCAATATCTGCAGCAGTTGTCGGAATTGGGGCAGAAGCTCTCGTTTCCCTAAGGCAGAGCAAAGCCGACCGAAGGAGAGAGAAAGACAGTCGACATCTCATCCAGGCTGTAACATAACTTCTGGGCTGCTGCTTCTGTTCGGAGATCAGCTCCGCGAGTCTGGCGTAGAAACATCTTGCACTTGGTCCCATCCCACCAGAGGTTGTAAACACTAGAAGAGTGAAGCTGCCTTGATCAACGTTTTGAATTCTCTCCCCATATGCCCTTCTCTTGTCATTCTCGTTCCTCCAATGTGCAGCATCGAGAGCTAGGTTACGGTGACATGCGGCCATGGGTTCAAAAATCCTAATGTCGAAGAAAGCTCGCTGTCCCCGCGTCCAGAATCCTCGAGCACTGACGTCAACACGGGCTTCGTTAGATGTGTTTGAAGTCCTATGTTGGAAGATCTCACCATCCAATGGAAGGAGGGTCGGTTCTACCATGACATCCCGGCAGATTTCCTTCAACATATTTGCTGTGAGGTCCCTTACTTCGTCATGCCTCATGCATACGAAGCCCCCCTTCTTGCACACCATGGCGTGATCGCCGTCATAGGAAGAGCCACACACGCATTGGGAGGGCAAACCTTCTACTGGCCGACTGTACCTTAGAGCAATGGCATCTGTAAATTCTTGTTTATTAAGACTGAAACCATTTGCCCCTACTACTACTACTACCCCTCCTGCTACACACATGGGTCGAACTTTCAGTTGTATATTCCTGTGACTTTCAGCATAAAATAAGATCATCATATATAATCTTATTATTGTTTATTTCAGATGCTGAAACTGTCAAGACTCCTCCACCTCCCCCTCCCTCTCCCCAGACCTGCGTTGGTGCTTCATAAACCTATACCTGTGGCAGTCGTGTCACCTGAAGCTATTAGGCAACAACAGCTATGACAACAACAAAACAACAGGTGTCAAATATGGCGTCGCCTCTTACACACGGGAACACACACACACACACAATGGTCACAATTGGTAAAGTTATTGTATGGATATTGAAGTGTTCCGCACAGACAGACAGGCAGAGTAGACAGACAGGCATGAGGAATCACCCCACAACATGCCAGGGGAAGGTGTGGTGGAACTGGGGTGGGGGATAATAATATCTCTCTTGTTTTAGTCAACACCATCTAGTCCTTTATAAACTGCTGGTCTATAAACAACATCTTTTATATAATGCAAACCCAAAACAAACCCACCCGTGGCATATAAACTCTGCCCCAGTGACTCTGACTCCGCTCCATCACACACACGACATCATGACCAGCCATCAACCTGAAGGTGAACGTAAAGCTACAGGTGTTTTAGGAGAGTTCAGGCAGGTACAGGTGTTGCCGAGTGGGATGAGGTGGTGTGGTGGGGATGGAGAAGGACGGTGAAGGTACAGTAGGTGCTGGTGGGGGTGGGGGGGGTAGGTGTAGTGGGGGTAGTGATGGGGGTGGAGACAGGGTCGAGGACTTGGTTAGGTGGGTGGTTGGGTGGGACGCGAGCAGACATGAGACCACTACTACTACTACCACTACCCCCCTACCAGCTCCTCCACCCTCAGGCAACACAGCCACAGTCGACACCAGCAAAAAAGTCCTTGTGATCATCTCCGCCAGTGAGTCATCCAAGGTGACCCACCCGTCTGTAATCGCTGGGGGTGCAGACGTTCACTGGGGTCTGGTCCTTCCCTGCCTCCCCTACCATCATCACCACCACCCCTAGGTCCTACACGTGCCTCTCTCTCTCTCACACAGATACATACCACCTCTCTCTCCCTCTCTCTGTTACCTCTACTTGGTACAGTAAGACCCGCGGGCCTTTACATTCCGTACATACAACAGTTCACATGTGGACGTCTAGCACCGAGGTGATTCATCCCTAGGTCACCGTGCTACTCTCTCTCTCTCTCTCTCTCTCTCTCTCTCTCTCTCACACAAAGATGAAGATAATCACACCATCAAAAATAATACCTAATGTGGTCAAAATCACAGTACATTAGTAAACACCAAGTAACTTTTCACAGGACATAATTCTGCCAATTTCCCACTGGATAAAATACTGGACAAAATGCAACTTCCCAAATA